CGTCACGTTATAACGCACTTTTAAGTAACTAAGACGACTTGTAAAAATGTCAAAATATGGTTGGTCAATTAAAAATATAACATTTTGCAAATCACAGATATCATTTCTATTATTGTAGGCTATGTTTTCACTGTTTTAATGCTCCCCAGTGGCACAGCGGCATGTCTGCTAGAAATGCTAAAAACCGGGTTTCGACACCGGGTAGCCCAATGTGTAGCTTTGTGCTCAACTACAAACAAATCAAACACCAAAAATTTTGGATAGACTTATTTCAGAGTTCACGCAAGGCCACACAAAGGATTGTATGTAAATATCTAACCCTAATTTTTGAACTGATAAACTAAAGGGAAAATAGCCAACAGCACCTACCGTCAACTCTTGGACTACTCTTATCTGACTAAATACTGGAAAGTGACTGTTATTCTTATAGTACTCGCATCCTAAGATGTGAAGTGAGTGTTTACAGCAACCGGATACGAACCTTGAACCCTCGAATTCACAGTTCGGATACGCTAACCTCTAATCCTGCGGTTCCCGAAATGTGGTTCACGAGGCGATGCCAGATGGTACGCAAGAGGTTTCCAAACAGACCTAGTTTAAAAAACGTATGTAATAAAGTACTAATCCTATATATAGTCTTCACTACCGCAGCAATACGTATTATATATATATCAAAGAACATAGGACGCCAAACAAAAAACAGGTTGAACGTAACACCCACGTTATTCCCGACATCAGTAAACTTTGTTCAACAACAGTACATCCATTGCGCTGAAAGTGAAACATAAAAGTATACAAATATTTCAAATACCTAATACTGTCTCATTCCTTTCGTTTTATTTATTTTTAGCCGCCATGTTAGGCTTACGTGAGAAGAGTGTGACATATTAAGCAAGCATTAAAAGCAGAGGTTGAAAGTTTGGGAATGGAATTTGAATAACGTTTTTTGTTGTTGTTGTTGTAATTGTTCTAGAAATAGGATTACACCCAATATAGCAGAAATTATTTCTCAGTGATTAATTTATAAGTTTATATTGAGAGGGAAGCGCGTACTGACGTAACAGTACACGTAAACATGGATAATATTTGTCATTGGTGCATCCATTACCTACAACATCGTTTTGTAGCGTATTTGAAATTACAAACGAATACTCTCCTCCAAACACCTGACTCATTGCCCACCCATTCTCATAAAACCGTCCCATTTGAGAATTAATCTAAATAACTTTAATATCGTTTCTACAGCAGTAAGGTTGTTCTTTCAAGGATTTGGTATAAATATCTGGTTCAGAGGTTAATAACCTCCGATGTGGCCGAAGACTTTTCCAACGCCAGCACCTGACGCAAGCCTATGTAAATTACAACGGAGAGGATCACAACAAAACTTCATTTTGTTCCTTCAACCTAGTGTTTCAACAAACAGCTTGTTGTAGTGAATTACTTGAAAAACGACATTTCGCACGAGCTAATACGCAGATGGCACATTCTCCGTTAAAAAGTAAAGCTATTAAACTTTTCAAAGCCCAGGATGTAGGAGACAAAGCCCACCACAGTTAACATCTATTGCGAAAGTAACAAGAAATGCGCATCGATAATTCTGTAGAAGTAGTTTACTTGTCTTCGTAATTAATGTATTCCCATGGTTATTCCTGACGATCTTTAGAAACCATATTTACCGCTTGCTGATGCCTTAATCAAAAATATGTTGTACATGCACTGTACTCTTAAATATATATATATATTGTTTGTTTGTTTTGAATTTCGCGCAAAGCTACACGAGGGCTATCTGCGCTAGCCGTCCCTAATTTAGCAGTGTAAGACGAGGTAAGGCAGCTAGTTATCACCCCCCACCGCCAACTCTTGAACTACTCTTTCACCAACGAATAGTGGGATTGACCGTCACATTATAACGCCCCCACGTCCAAATCCATTTAGCCGTTTTAGAGAAATCT